AACACAGCACAGAAAACCGTAGTGAGATTGGAACGAGAACGCTCCTCGACAGATGGTTCTAGGAGCCTGATGCTGCATCAGCAAAATGCGAGACGAATATGTACCCAAACAGGTATCTTATAAAGTTAGGTGACGTACAGATATAGGTAGCTATGCTCAGACGTGCTTGGGACATGGATTGATCCTAGACCGTAGGTATCTTATCTGAGATTCTGAGCACGTCTATTCATGTCCAGAGTTGCCAATCGCCACCAGCGCAGAACATCGTTCTCGCATTTAGTGTACGTGACCAAAGTAGGCTCGACCGTGACAATCGAGAACACCGCCCGCTCTCAGGCTCTACATTAATATTAATGAGATCCACTGGACCTTTTCTGTATCGACCTCGGTCGAGTGCCAGCAGCTTGGTCAGCAGTTTTCAATTTCGGCCAGACAGCGATATGTCATGTTCAGCGAAAGTACTTACGCCATTACGATGGACGATCCACAGTTCTTGTTCAGTCCGTAGGTGGGATTATGCACGCCGCACTGAGATTTACTGGTAATTCCAGTGTTCTTGGGTCGAACGCATAGGATTGAACGACGACGTGCCTGACTTGGTCGCCTGTTCAGACACGATGCTCTGACTGGTTGTGTTTACCTTCCTGTCAACAAATGCGGATAAGACTTCCCATTGATAAATGGTGTGTTTCCGAAACGCACTTGCACAAATGAATCACCTATGAAGCAGGAAATCAGCATCTGGGCTGCAAGAATGGCGCCGTCCCCTGTTGACCCGAAGTGAGGCCATCGTCACAGGTACTAAGCGATGCGGTCAGATAATCGGTCGTGAAGCAACTCTCGTCATCTTTGCATGTAGCGACATTACTGTGTCGTTGTCGAGAAGAAAGGGTTATTATCGAGTGCTATTGAGCGCATTGACGCCTGTCCAGTACTGTCATCTGAGTGAAAGTATGCCTCGTCGAGCCGGATTGCTTCCACAGGTAATACTGTAGGGTTTGGTGGGGATTTGAGACGAGAGACCCATTCTTCACAGCCCTTACGTGTCTACAACAGCAGTCTGTATGAGAGCCGTCATTTATATTACCGCTCACCATTTCCACTCCGCCATGATCCAGATATCCGGGGTCTGCTAGCTGTGAGTGCCACAGGAGAAGTCGCTCATTTCGGTAAGTGGGTCACCACGTATCATAGTGCAAACCTTCGGAGTCAAACACTGGAATCTGTGATGCGATGAAGAGAGGTGCGGGGTGCTCAAAACATCCCTTGCGTATTAAGGCTATCTGGCATGAATAGCGCCGCAGCCTTCTTAGACAAGGTGCCGGAGTGGCTTCCTCCAAACTTGCCGTCTAATCTCCTCGAGACATAGCATCTTTATGGTCGACAATTTGCACAGCACCTAGACATAAAAATTTAGAGAAATGCCACGCCGATCAACTGAATCAATCGCAAGACTTGGCTAGTGCTTCGAGGACGGTGTCTACATTATTGGCATGGCACGTCGATGGTCCCCCTACACAGCCCGAATCCAAGGCGTGATACTGTATGTGGTGAACAATCCTAGGAGAGCGGAAATCTCCGCAGCCGTGATGTGACTTACTAAAAAGGCCACAGTAGGTCGTTCAACTTGTGTGGCGGTTGAGTAACATTCTTGCCCAGAATTGTTCTTTGCGTGCTTGTGGCGTCCCTGTGCGCTATAAATGAACTAGTTTTCACTGCCCATCGATACCGCGTCTTGTTCCTCACAATCGTGAAGTTGCTACCCATCAGTCTTTGCATCATCGGACAAGTGCGTTTTGTCCTACCACATAGAGCTTAGATTTTACTGATAAATTCCACTTGCAGTGTGCAGAGAGTATTTCGTCAAATACAAATGTCAATGCGTGGAGAGGAACGAATTTGTGCAGTGCGAGAGTCGCCGTAATACGAATGTCAGGTGTGATCCCCTCCTCTCAGCCACCAAGACCTCTCAGAACTACTGCAAGAACCATACCGTTACACCTACCGCCCCTCTGACAATGACAATGAAGAAGAGGTAGTCTCAAATTAATTTCCTAGTAGGCTCGTTAATGTGGCGTTTTTGTGGCAGGTCTTTTAAAGTACCAAGCAATTGGGAATCGCGATATTGACGGCTCTCTCCTGAGTTGTTTTTGATCTTTTTTGCGAGTACGAATTCCTATTTATTGTGAAGTCCGGGCTTTGGCATACTACTACAATATGTATAATGGCTAGTCGAGCCTCCATAACCTTTGTTACTTGTTGCATAATTTGTCAGGGCATAAGATACATCCAAACTTACTGTGATCCAAAACCATGAGACTCGGCTTTCCGAAAAAATAAGGGAGGAATATGATTGCTAGCGCCACGCGGTGTAAAAGTAACGAGCGTTTTTTGGCCGTGATTGTGGCATAAATTAAAGAATCCTCAGGTGCATCAGTCAAAGCCATACAATCATGAGTGTTACAGAAGAGATAGTTCCGAGCCAGTTGTCGCTGGAGCACTGAAAGCCAAGGCAACGAGAGGTCGGAACGCTGTCGGCGCTCCGCGACGGCGGGATTCCTTTTCCGGAAGTTGTTGGCGGTCACGTAAGCGCATGATACAGCGTCGGGGCAGCAGCTCGATGCTCAGTGCTCATTCACCGCCACCTTGCCTGAAAGGTCTCATACAACAATTATGGGCCTGGCGAGTTTCACTCGGTATGAGTTTGGACGGTACACATTTACTCCCTTGAGCTCAGCGGTCAAGTAGGTGGCTCCAGAGACGGTTCCGTCATGGCGCAGACAAACTCGATGGTGGTCAGCAGGAGTTCACAGTGAGTATCCAACCTGTTTCCTCGAGATTTCGTCATAGAGACCCTCCGGAGTAGCTCAGGGCTGCAGCATCCGGTCTTCTTATTGGATGCCTTCTTTGCTTCACGAACCTGTACTTCGGATTGCAGACGGGGTGGATCAGCATGTAAGATATCTATCATGTTTAATCGACCTAGCAGAGTACTTGGTCTTATGAAAATTTACTTTCCAGGATGTCTCTCCAATCAGCTCTGATTGGTTTCCTTATATCAAAATTGTTCCCTACACCAATTAGCCCTCAAGAAAATGTCGTCCTACAAACCATTGCTGTCGCCACGGGCACAGTGAGCATTCCAACTGTTCAATATGATGCCAACTCATCTCATTTCCTATCATAGATGCCTCTGGCCGCAGGATTCGTAGGAATCCTTCCCGCACTCGGGCTGCTCGACGAAGAGAGGGATGGCGTACCGCCCTTGTTTCTGTCGGGGATTAAAGCGATCGGGTGGTCGTGCGCGGTCGCATTCTTTGGGTACGCTGTCTACTGTGAGACTTCAGGCTATGTAAATTTATTGCTCGTAGTGTCTTCCTATCTCCCCCAATCCGCAAGCAGGTGGTAGGTTCACGCAGGTAACGACTAGAAAGACGTATTCCTGATGACAATTTATGCAGATCATAGAAGAGCAGCTTGCTTTCCCTTCTGGGACCGCAACCGCTCAACTTATTTCTGTCCTTCATCGAATTCCCCCGCCTGATACCTCGGTCCGACGGCGTAGAGGCTACCAAGCCATCGAAGCGGACGAAGAAGCAGAACGGCCTGCCATTGAGTCCGTTGATCATGCGGACATCACTGACCTTGATGAGCCGGAAGTGATAGCGCAGGAAGGATGGGGAGCTTTGATTTGGAGCTTTGCGGCGTCTGGTGCCATGACTGTAAGTTTGTCCTATGATTTCAGTTGAGGGGCGTACTTAGTCAGTGTGTGGGGCGACAGTTGGCAGCATATTTCTTTCCCGTCGTCTTCTCAGTTCCATTGTTTGGAAATTACCTCGCAAGCGAGTGGCTCTGGACTTTCACTCCAAGTCTGTCGTACATAGGACAAGGTACATCCTAGTGAACTGTAGCTACAGTGTACAACGTCTAATGCCCTTCAGGTATCATCATGGGCTTTCCAACAACTTTGAGCATGAACCTCGTTAGTTGCCACCCAGCTGTTAGTCTTCTATTTGCTAACTTGTTCTTGTTGTATAAAGGGTATGCTGGTCGGCTGGGGCATCCTATCTCCACTATCCAAATACTCCAGTTGGGCTCCGGGTCCTGTGGGTGATATGACCGACGGCGCTCGAGGCTGGATCCTCTGGATCTCGCTTGCTATCATGTGTGCAGACAGCTTGGTATCTCTCATACCAGTCATCTACGAGGTATTCTACTCCAAAATTTGGAATGGTGCGATCCGTCTCGGAAGCTCGCCAGAAGTGATCGACAAAGACGATCAAGAGATAGAGATTCCTGACAGACTGGTGCCTATGCGATGGGTCGTTTGGGGTCTCGCTGGGAGCATCATTCTCGGGACGCTCCTGGTTTGGATGGTTTTCGGTAACGAGGGAATCAAGCCATGGGCAACAGTCCTTGGTTTCATCATGGGCGGTTTGCTGAGTCTGCTCGGGTATGTCTGGCTGCTATCTTAGAATGAATTCTGATTAAAACATTTGCCATTAGCGTTCGCGCATTGGGGGAGACGGATTTGAATCCTGTCAGCGGACTGGGAAAAATAAGTCAGCTCTTCTTCGCGTGGATCCAGCCCGGAAACATCGTCGCCAATATCATCGCCGGAGGTGTAGCTGAGGCAGGTGCTCAACAGTATGTTGTTTTTTTGAGTCTAAGTCTCAATACAACCGCCAATGCACTGTTCGTAGAGCTGGTGACCTCATGCAGGATCTCAAGACTGGCCACCTAATTAGAGCATCTCCCCGCGCCCAGTTTTTCGGGCAGCTCATCGGCTCCTTATTGTCCATTCTCGTGACCACGACAGCGTACACGTTGTACACCCGAGCATATCAGATTCCCGGGCCGTCATTCCCAGCACCGACCGCCTACGTCTGGCTCGGCCTTGCGCGTCTGCTACGTATGCTACTACTTGTCTATCTGCATCTATCTGTCTGACAGTTTGTACAGGCGATGGGCAACTCCCAGCCAAGAGTAGCGAGTTCATGCTGGCTTCCGCTATCATTTTTGGTTTAGTGGCTGCTCTAAAGGCTTATGCACAACGTCGGGGCGCGTGGTATACAAAGTGGATACCTTCTGGGGTCGCTTTCGCTATTGGATTTTTGAACACCCCATCGTTCTCGCTCGCCCGTCTCATCGGTGGAATGGTCGAATACCTGTACTACAAACGTATCGGGCGCGAGAACGCCGGCATTCGGCTCATCATTATCGCCAGTGGCTTTGTGTTGGGAGAGGGGGTGGTGAGTGTGGTCTCGCTAATTTTAAGGACATGGGGCGTCGGCGTCGCAAGCTGCTATGGTTGCGGGCATGGAATGTGTGGGGGGTGTCCCGCAAGCGCTTGACAAAAATATATAATGATGGCACGACTCGCGTCAATAGATCAACTTGATTAGTCTCGGACCGAACGTTCCATCCACCCTGAAAGGGAACCTGGCGAGGAGTGTCTGGGACACAACGCCCCGGTCTAGGGGGCTTATGCATCTCGCACTTTCGCGCCAGCGCGGCTACGCTCACGATTTCATCTTATTGTGCACCTGTAGATCTTAGTTTTCACCTCACTATTTGGCTACATATGTTAAGGATTGACACCATATCCATATTTCACTCAGGCTTGCTCATCTCTCATTGTACTGGGTGATATTACTCTGATCATCAGAGTCTGATTAGTGTGAACGCGCGCGCGGCGAGATGCAAAGTCCCCTAGACCGGCGCGTTGTGTCCCCCTGTTAGGGTGGACGAAGGGTTCAGTCTGAGACAACAAGTTGATAGTCATAGCGTCTCCTATTCATATAGGAGACCTGCTATTCAATAAGCAAGTGACTTCTTCTTGTTAGGTGAGTCCCATGACGCTTGCCCATCCAAGAGGAGGCTTAGGTTCGGGTGAGGCATGGCTGATTCGTGGTTGGGATTTGCAGTGCCAGACCTTCTCCGGACCTATATGCGCGCGAGGAGTTCGCGCCGTATGTGTCGGCGCGCGACGCGTACGACGCGGCCGTCATATTCCGCCGTGGCAGCAGTATAAGTAAGCGCCCCGAATTGGGCTTACAGGCAAATACTCTGTTGTGCTGTTTCCCTGATCTTCGGCCGATCATGCGCATTACTATCCACGCGTTGGGCTTGCGCGGCAATTAGAAAAATCCAAAAAAATATACAGAACTTCCAGGTGACGAGCCGGTGTGTAGTCTTTACCGCCCTCGCCAGCATTGCACTAACTAGTAGGTATTCTATCATGATGCCCTTCACTGTTCATGGTATGTGGTCCTAGCTATTGTTGCTAGTGTTGCGCTCATAGGCACCGGCTGCATAGTCCATGTCGCAAAAGTCTGCCCAGCCTAGCCCAGAAGAAGCGAAACGGCAAGCTCAGCTGGAGGCAATCGACTTAAAAAATTATCTAGCATACCAGGATGCCATGAATCGGTATATATATGACACCGCGAATGGCAAGTTGAATGTGCCGAAGCGAGATGAGATAGCGTGGAAGAGTCTCTGGGAGCACAGCAGCGTCGACGATGATGGCCGAGTCGACACATGAGGGGAATTAGGAGGGTCTAGTATGTTGGCTGATCTAGAGTGCTCAGGAAATCTGGAACGTGTCCATTTTGGCTCCAAATTGTTGTATTTGCTCTGGCTTAGTAATACTGCGCTGGGGTCTTCTGTCTGCCAAGACTCCTACGTCGCCCGACAGTCTACTTTCTCTCATGTCTTTGCACGCTTCCTCTTCATTGTTTGTGCTCGTGTGGGCGTCGTATCTGCGAGTGTCGTAACTAATACCACGTTACTTTGTTCACTTGTCTTCTGTGTTTGTTACTCAACACGTATCGAGTCTCCAACGACCATCGTTTCTAATGGAGTATAGTATATGGCACTGCTTCTGAGTCTATATGGTCTCGTGCCTATCTTCGACACGTCTGGGTACGAGACCAAGTCTATATGCGTTGCAACAGGCTATAGAGAGTATGCCACAGTGCCCTTCCAATTCAAGTTGGTTATTTGACACGGTATGATGTTGGCTTGGGTGGGGCGCGTCTATCCATGGTCCTCCTTTGCCCAATCTCTCCTGCAGGTCGTATAGTTTTTTTTGACGCCTCTATATGTCACTTCAGGTATCGTATTCCGTTACATGATGCTAATAGTTCGTATATCCTCTGCTAGATACCCGTGATGTAAGTTCGCAGTTCACTTTGCTGCCGGTCTTGTTGACTAGGTGGAAGATTTGTCTTTCGCATCTAGTCCGGGCACAAGGGAGAACCATCTCCCATTCTGATGCAGCTGATGCCATATGCAGCTGCAAGCCACGGAGCGCATCAACCTGTGGTCCAAAATCCTGACAAGCCAACACTCATGAATACACCTACATGAAGATAGGATATTCATTCTTTTTGACAACCTGCCTCGTGTCTGAATTGGTCGTAGATTCATATACAGTTTTGTTATTTCTAAAGATTCCATATAGACATTAGTTAATTTCAAGTGTGTATAATCCGCACTCAGATATAGATGTCATCGTGAAGATGTCAAACACTCGGTGGTAGTTACAGGTCAAAGGTAGTACATTGCGTTGGCGTTGGAGATGGTCCCTTACGAGTGCAGTCATATCTTCCTGTCTTAACAGAGTATCCTAAACTGAGGTCATTGTTGGGTAGCGATGACGCTCGACCTGATACAGAGGCCTATGTTACATGTACGCTACAAAGCAGTGCTACTGGACTACACACATCATGCACCCTACACCACCTGCTGCAAACGCCACTTAGAGAGCAAGGATGCCGGAAGTGAATGCGAGTAACCGACCCAGTTCTCCAGGTACGGCCTTACGCTCACTACCCAGAGCCTCGCAAACATCCTAACAGTCGCATTGACACCCGCACATGACCAGTCAACACTGACAAGACTGAAGCACACAGAAGAAGGGATGTACCTGGTCCACAAGGACAGACATGTCGGACGCATAGCGCGCCACACGCACCAGTAAAACTCGCCGCACCAGTATTGCCATAAACTAGTCACGAGAGGCCAGGGTCGGATGGTGCAGGAGCACTGGTAAGGCGCCTATGACGTCAGCATGAAAGCCGTCCCTCAGAGCCACAAGCCACCCATCCTTGCATTCAACGAAGACATGAACCGTCACTCGCTCGGCACGGGGGGGGGCTACTTGACAGCAAGGGGGTGGTCGTTATTCTCCGGGAGAAGGCACGGACAAACTTCCAGCACGCTGGCTACGGAGAGCCCGCGACCTGGGATGTACTTGCGCCGACTGTGCAAGAGAGGGATGCAGATGGTGGCGAGAAAGGCATCCCGTACGCATGCATCCACTCCCACCTCCGTTGCCGCCATGAGCG